TCCACGCGCATACGCACATGCACGCGCACAGACACACACACATACACACACAGCGGTCTCGCGCACCTGCACATGGAGATCGTAGGCACCCAGGGTGAGTCACGCTCCCTCTGTCCCTCTCTGCCCTGTCCCTCCTCCACGCGCATGCGCACACGCACGCGCACAGACACACATACATACATACACACAGTGTGTGTGTGTATGTATGTCACACACACACACACACATACACGCACAGCGGCCTCGCGCACCTGCACATGGAGATCGTAGGCACCCACGGTGAGTCACGCTCCCCCTCTCCCCCTCTCCCCTTCTCCCTCTCTCCCGCTCACCCCCTCTCCCACTCTCTCTCTGACTCACGTGTGTGCGTTGCAGGTAAGCCGGCGATCGCTCACCGCGACGTGAAGAGTAAGAACATCCTCATCAAGAACGGCACCTGCTGCATCGCCGACCTCGGCCTCGCAGTCTGCCACGACTCCGTCACCGACACGATCAACATCTCGCAGAACAATCGCGTCGGCACAAAGCGCTACATGGCGCCCGAGGTGAGACGCCGGCGCGGCGCCCCCTGGCGGTCGTCCGCGGTCAGAGATGCCAACCACTACGATTTATTCATATTTTATACGAATTTCTATTCCTTTTGCACCACTACGACGAGTTTGTATCAAACTACGAATTTCACTGTGATCGAAAAAAATTCTTTTTTCGTCAATTATTGTCATTTTTTGTCAATTTATTGTCATTTTTGACCCTCAGAATGCAGGAAATTGCATCTCAGAATCAAAAAATTTTCTGGGGGGTATGCCGGACCCCCCTAGCAAACTCTGGTCACTACGTGACCCTCGAACTACTAATTTCATGGCCAGAAACTACAGATTGCTTCAAATATGTGTTGGCATCTCTGCGCGGTTGTTTGCGTTAGGTAAAGGGGGGGGGGGGTCGTGAGTGATCTGATGTCCAAAATCTAAAAGGCTTAGGAGTGCGTATCAGTTGTATGTATATATACGTGCTATACTGCTGGACTGTGCTGAGTGGTGTTTTTTGTTGTTACGCGTTGAGAGAGCGCGTGTGACGCGTTGCATACAACTTTTTGCATACAATTTGTTGCATATGGAACGCTTTGCTTCCCGCAGGTACTCGATGAGACGATGAACATGACTCACTTCGACTCGTTCAAGCGTGCGGACGTTTACTCGTTCGGCCTTGTGCTGTGGGAGATCGCCTGGCGCACCAAAGTACAAGGTCAGTACCACATGGATGTGCAGATCGAAGGGGAGAGAGAGAGAGAGGAAGAGAGACAGACGGAGAGAGAGAGCGCGTGGTATAGCATCTCGGCACGTTCGCAGGCATCTGTCAGGACCACCAACTGCCGTGGGGGGGGGAGGAAGGGGGAGAGAGGAAGGGGGAGAGAGCAGGAGAGAGAGAGAGAGAGAGTGTGAGCGAGAGAGTGTGGGACAGAGATAGAGAGCACGTGGTATAGCATCTCGGCACGTTTGCAGGCATCTGTGAGGACTACCAGCTGCCGTACTACGACATGGTTCCCCCCGACCCCACGCTGGAGGAGATGAGGAAGGTCGTGTGTCAGGACAAGCTGCGGCCATCCATACCCAACCGCTGGACACAGAACGAGGTAAGATCAAGAGAGAGAGAGAGGTAGAGAGAGCGAGAGAGAGACAGACAGACAGAGAGCGAGAGAGAGACAGACAGACAGAGAGCGAGAGAGAGCATGCGCGAGAAAAAGCGTGAGAGAGAGGGAGACAGACAGACAGAGAGAGAGAGAGCGTGCGAGAGAGGCAAACTGGCCGAGGAAAGAGATGAGCGAGAGCCGTGCGCGATAGACGAAAGACGGTGCAGAGAGAGCGAGGCGAGAGCAGATAGAGAGCAGATGCTTCAGAAAGAGCGGAAGAGAGGAGAATAGATAGGGTAGCGAGGTAGCAAGTCGATGAAGAGAGAGAGAACGACCGAGTAGAGGGAAGAGGCAGAGAGAGAAGAGAGAAGACAGAGTGAGAGGAGGAAGAGAGACGAGAGAGAGGTGCGATGGCCGACGTGAAGAGCCTATGAGAGGAAGGAGGTGAGCAGTGAGAGTGAGGAGTGAGAGTGAGAGTGACAGTGCAGAAGTGAGAGTAGTGAAGATGAGAGTGTGAGACGTGAGAGTGAGGTAGATAGAGGGAGAGGGAAGGAGAGGAGTGAGAGTGCAGGAGTAGAGAGCGAGAGGAGAGACCGAGACGATCAACGAGAAGACCCCACTGCGACGAGTAGAGAGAGAGCAACGAGAGAATGTCGAAGAGAGAAGAGAGAACGAGAGAATCGAGAGAGAGAGAGAGCGATAGAGAGACAGAGAGAATTTCAATCGTCGTTTGTCGTGTGTTAATTAAGTTTTTGTTCGTGAATTGACCGTGTAATGAGAGATAATGTCGTGATCAACCGGTGGGCGGATGCAGAATGAGGCAAAAAACGAGAAAAGTTGATTTGATCGTCAATTGATCGTGTAAGAATCGCGGTCGGCGAGCGATAATCCCGTGTCCCACCACTGGACCCTAGAAGGAGATGAGAGAAGTCCGAATTTCAGTCATCGTTCGTGTTGTTAATTAAGTTTTTATCCGTTAATTGATCGTGTGAGAAGTGTGAGCGATGATGCCATGATCGACCGCTGGACAGACACAGAACGAGGCGAGAAGCTAGAAGCGAGAACTACCCTGTACGGCAACCCCCATCATCCTCTCTCTCTTCCTCCCTCCCTATCCCTCCCTCTCTCTCTATATATATATATGCCTCTCTCGCTCTCTCCCCCTCTCTCTCTCTCTCTCTTTCTCCCTCACCCTCTCCCCCTCTCTCTCTCTCTCTCCCTCCCTCTCTCTTTCTCCCTCACCCTCTCCACCTCTCTCTCTCCTTCACCCTCCCTCTCTCATGCACTCCTCGTTGTTGCAGGCATTGCGGGTGATGGCTAAGCTGATGAAGGAGTGCTGGTACCAGAACGGCGCTGCCCGCCTCAGCATGCTGCGCATCAAGAAGACCCTCGCTAGCCTCGGGTTCAACGAGGACGTCAAGTTTAAGTAGCGCCCTCTGCTGGCGGGCAAGGGATCGATCGAGTAGCGCCCCCTGCTGGCGGACCGACGCGTTTTTCGTCTCGCCGTTTTTTGTTCGTCGCCGGAAGTTTCTCCGCCTCTTTCTATCTCTCTCTGCCATCGTCGTGGCGACCGTGGAACAGGAGGAAGAGGAGGAGGAGGAGGAGGGAGAGATGTCTGTTCAACAACGACGCTTCACACGTTATTCAAGGAACGAACAAAGTCTGATGACTTGCTCTCGATTGGAGGACAGATGTATAGCTATACATATATATATACATATATAAATATGCGTGTATGTTTATATATATATATATATAGGCATATACGCATATATACATATATATATATACAATATATATATTAATCAGTGTAATTAGTAGTGAGCATTTGTAGAAGGGTGTTGTTGTGCGCGCGGACGCGGGCTGCTTGGTGTGAAGATCCTATCACCACATGTCGGCATGTATTCGTTGGCTGGACCTTAACTCTTGTTGTCAGTTTATAGTAGTGTGCGCGCGTGTGTGTGTGTGTGTGTGTGGCATATGATGCACAGACATTTTTGCGTTTTACTGTGAAGAAGAAGACTAGGAGGAAGAAGAAGAGCAAGAAGGAGACTAGGTTAAGGCGTAACGTAGGTGTAATTTTCGTACGTAGTCGTAGGTACGAAGGTCCATATTTATCCAGCTTCCCGCGGCGTTCTTTTCTTTTTCGCGGCGCGCGTGTATCTTACGTTGTTGTTTGCAGCTTTTTGCAGTCGTACTTGTGAAACAAGTGAACGTTTTTAATCGCGCGCACAGCGCGTAGCTTACCCGCCTCGCTCGCTAGATGCGGATTCCGGCAACCGGTCGATCCGCCGTTAGTTTCCCCCGCCGCCCGTAGATGGCTCCACGCGCTCGCGAGTGACGGGGCGTCGAGCCGACGTTGGCCCCACCGGCCGGGAGTCGCAGCGCGCGACGGCGGGGGAGAAATTGTACAGTGCTGTGGCTACTATATGTTGTGTTATGCGGCCCGCCAGTGTAGTGCGGCGGCCGCTGCGGCATCTGCATCGCTTGGCTGTGATAGAATTTAATCTCACTGTTATATCTCGTGCGTGCTACGTCTACTACTACTACTACTACTACTAGTACTCTTACTACTACTACTATTACTACTAGTACTACTACTACTACTACTACTACTACTACTACTACTACTACTCTCTCTCGTGTTAGTACTACGGGTGTTTTTAGTGTATGAGGGAACGCCTCGTGTTTTATTCGCGCGATCGCGCGGGTGGAGAGTAGTTTTGAGGGACTCACGGATCAACGCCAGTACGACGGGGGGAGGGAGGGGGGAGGGAAGGAGGGAGGGAGGGAGAAAACTCCCCTCCCCCTCGGTCGTTGCCGGGGGCTGTTAGACGCGGCCGCGGTCGCGACGGCGCCCGAGCGTCGCGCGCCGGCGCCGGTCTAAGTTGGTGTAGAGCGCCAGGATGGCGTCGTTGGCGTCGATGTAGAATCGTGTTTATAATTGTCACCGCCGACGACAAATCATGGAGCTGGACGGATGGAGGAAATCTCAAGCGAGCGGGCAAGATGCCTGCCGCTCCCGCCGCGGTTTTAATCGGAGCGACCCCTGGCGGCCGAAAAAAGGTTGACGGCAAGTTCCGTGCACGAGATCGTGCTGTTCTATTGTTGTTGTTGTTTTTCTCTCGTCGGGACGGGGCGCGAGCGTTTAGACACGTCTGTTTTAGACAGAGCCGCGCAGGCGTCTCTATTTCGCGCGCGGGCGTTGTTTCGCCACTACTCTTCTTTATCGTTTTTTAATCGTCGTTTTTCCCCCTCCGTCGTCGTCGTCTCCGGATGTTTTTTCCGCCGCGCGGGCGAGACTGCGCGAGAGTATCGCGCGACAAGGTTTTACAGACATGGCGTGGCATCCGTGGCATGTGCGGGAGCGAAATAGGTTCCGCTAGAGGGAGGAAGTTTTTTTTTTTCTCTTTCGGCCGTCGGAAATCGTTGTCTGTCGACTCGATTGTCGGATAGAGGGCGTCGCGTGTAGCGGCGGCAGAGATCGTGGTTGTGCCGAAAAAAATCGTGGTTGTCCGGTCGAATTGACAATGGGCGCGCATGTCTCACACGTGCGTGTCTCGTCTCTCTGTCTCTCGCTCTTTCTTACTGTAACGTTCTAGGATGATATCAGGTTCTCCCTCCTACCTCTCAGATCGCAGGGTTCTCTCTCTTGCCATTTACACTTTGTACCTCTCGTCGGACGAACGCTCGCTCGCTCGCTCGCGCGCAGGCGGGCGCGGAGGGAGAGAGGGCGTGCGAATTAACGGCGACCTGACTGACCCCCCCATCGTTGGGTTTTCCAGCTTCCTGGTTACAGGTTCAAAGCCGGTTTTCTACGCGATCGGTCGCAGTTAAAGGTTAACCCCATTACCGGGTTTTCTACGCTCCTGGTCGCAGATAAATGTTAACTCGATCGCAGGGTTTTCTACACTGTTCGATCACAGATAAAGGTTAACCCTATCACTGGGTTTTCTGCGCTCCTGGTCACTGTTAAATATGAACTCCATCACCAGTTTTATAGGTTCCTGGTCACAGATTATGGTGAACTACCAGTTTTCTACACTGATAACAGACTACAGATCGATCACAGATAAAGGTTAACCTCATCGTAGGGTTTTCTATGCTTATGGCTGTAATTGAAGGATCGCTCCCGACGCCATTTTGTCTAGGCTACCGATCCGAAGCAGGCAGCGCCACCTGGTGTGGTCGGCGGCAGGATGGTGCGCCACCTGGTGTTGTTGGTGGCGGGCGGGTACCGGCGGTCGGTCGGTCTCTCACGCATCTGTGTTCCTGAGTGAATCAGTGGTTGTGAGTGGCATGGGGAGAGGAGGAGAGGGCGTAGGGTGGAGCGTTGACCCCGGGGCTGGGTCGTCTCGACTCCTCGTCGCACGGTTCGCGAGCGAGCAAGCGCGGGCGGCCAGAGCTTTCGCCGCCGCCGTCTCGATAATTAAAAACAAGTGTTACGAAGGTCGAAACACACCTCGAGGCGGAGACGGAATGCGTTTGGGCGACAAATTCTTGTGAAAATTGTGAAGTTCTCATTCTTAATTCGTCGGTAGTTTTTGCTGCGCGTTGAGTCGATCTCGCGACGATTGGCCGCTGCGCTCGTTAGTCGCCGACTCGTTAAGGATCGCCGCGAAGTTCGACTCCCTTCCCGCCGCGGCGACGCGACGGTCGGCCGCTGCACTCGTTAGTCGCCGGCTCGTTAAGGATCGCCGCGAAGTTTGACTCCCTTCCCGCCCCGCCGCCGTGGCGACGCGATGGAGGCTTTATTGCGGAGACTTTATTTGGCGCCGCTGGGCCGGGTCGACGAACGAGAGAAGAGACGGGAGAATTGAAAAGTGGCGCGAAAGACGCGTGGGAGCGGGGTCGGATTCGCGCCGTGGGGAGAGTTTTAAGGTTTGTCCGCGGCGGCGATCAAGGGATGGGTAGGGGGCGCCGCTGGGTCGTGCAATCGCGTATCGTTACGTAGCATGTGCGACGGTGCGGTGTAGGGGGCGCCGGCATGCGATCCCGTCCCGTGACGTTGCCGAACGAACTACCCCGGTGAATAAACCACGAACCACCACTCTTGTGAATGAACTACCCCGGTGAACAAACCACGAACCACCATCCTGGTGAATGAACAATTCCTGTGAATGAACAGATGGTGAGTGAACAACCCCGGTGAACAAACCACGAACCACCACCCTGGTGAACGAACAATTCCTGTTAATGAACAGATGGCGAGTGAACAACCCTGGTGAACAAACCACGATCCACCACCCTGGTGAACGAATGACCCCGGTAAACTGAACGGCTGGCGAGTGAACAACCGTGATGAACGAATTACGAACCACCCCGGTGAACAAACAAAGAACCCTCGCGAAGGAATCCACTAACAACCGCGCCGGCGTTTTCTCGTATATGCCGTCGCTGTGTGATACCCGCTGTTCGTGTCGGTCGCCGCCAGAGGGCGCCGTGAAAATGGAAGAAAAGGTGAAAAAAATGATGCGCTTTTTTATCTATTGCCGAGGCGCGGACGTCGCACCGTTTAGATTTTATTTTTATCGATGATTTAAGACTGTTTTTATTTTGCCGGCGTCCGGCGGTGGCGCCCTCTAGAGGTGAAAGCATGGTTCGCACAGTCCTTGAATTTGAGGGGAGTCCTTGAAAGGTACTTGAATTTAGTAAATGTTGATTTTGTGCTTGAACAGTCCATGAATTTCATGAAATTGTCATTGAAAGCGTTAAATGAGCTTAAAAAACTATAGACACGATAGATAGTTAAATGATGATCACAAATTACAGTAAGTCAGTAAAATCAGTCAGTAAATCAAGGTATGTTGTAGAAGTGACAGTGTTTAGAAGGGATTATTAATGTGATCCAGGTAAGTTTTAGAGGTGACAGTGATTAAGAATGGGGTTATTAAATTAATCCAGGTATGTTTTGTTCTGTGTATGAATTCCGATAAAATGTCTTATAAAATGTCCTTGAAAAATATTCAGTCCTGTATGAACCATGGAAAGGGCTTGGCTGCGGCGGCGCGCTCTGGTGGCCGAAGCGCACACGTGTAAATACGACTCAAAAGTCAGACTTGGCGTGGGCCGTGTCGCTGGCGCCCCCTGGTGGGGGTCGCGACGGCCGTACAACGGCAGCGACCCCCGCCAGGTGGTGTTGTCGCGGTGGCGCCCTCTGTATTTCGGGTGGCGAGTCGAGAAATCCGGAGTCGTGAACGCAACGTGGACTGAGGCGCCCCCTGCTCACCACGTCGCGAACGCTTTAGAGTAGTCGCGGTTGTGGGATGCGGTGCGGTAGTTAGTAGTCAGGGGTTGGGGGAGATGTGTTACGTAATGATGTAGACTAGGTGTTAGGTAATAATGTAGAGTAAGTGTTAGGTATGTATATGTAGAGTAAGTGTTAGGTGATATGTATAAGTGAAGAGCTAAGTGTTAGGTGATAAATATAGAGTAAGTGTTTAGGTGATAATAGTAGAGTAAGTGTTAGGTGATAATTATGTAGAGTTAAGTGTTAGGTTATTATGTAGAGTAAGTGTTAGGTATAATGTAGAGTAAGTGGTTAGGTGTATAGTTAGAGTAAGTGTTTAGGTAATAATGTAGAGTAAGTGTTATGGTCAATAATGTAATGCTTCATATTGTAGAGTAAGTGATTAGGCATAATAATGTTAGAGTAAGTGTTAGGTGATAAGGTAGAGTAAGTGTTAGGTGATAATGTAGAGTAAGCGTTAGGTGATAATGTAGAGTAAGTGTTAGGTGATAATGTTAGAGTAAGTGTTTAGTAATCAAATGTAGAGTAAGTGTTAGGTAATAATGTAGAGTAAGTGTTAGGTAATAATGTAGAGTAAGTGTTAGGTAATAATGTAGAGTAAGTGTTAGGTGATAATGTAGAGTAAGTGTTAGGTAATAATGTAGAGTACGCTGCTCTAAGGTAATATCTGACTGTTTAGGTAAATGTGAGTACAGTGTATAAGTGTGATTAGTGATAATGTATAGTAAATGTTAGTAATATTAAATAGTTATATGTTTGGTAATAATGTTAATCAATAACATAGGCTACACGTTAGTTAATCATGTAGAATACATGTTGCGTAATATACGTCGTTACAGGTAACCTCCCCCCTCCTCCTCCCCCTCCTCCCCCCTCCCACCTCACCGGTCGTTCTGCAGCAGTCT